AGGACCTCAATAGAAGAATCCACAAAGGTAGCAATCCTGCTCAGTTTCTTGTAAACCAGACATGGGCATTTTACGCCCCCCCCCCTCCAGCCACATCTGGCCCTTTGGCTGTCCCTGTCCAGCCTGCGTGAGGTCAATCAGAAATTAGAAATCAAATGTAAATCAGTCGGCGCCATAAACGCAACACAACTGCATTGCATTCATTTTGAAGGCGACTGCTTTATTTTTCAATTTGCGTGCGCGTGTCCCTGTGCACCTTCGCAAGCCTTATCGGTTCAAGCCGTCCACCGCAATCCCAGTTTCTCGTATGGTCCTTTGGGAAAATGAACTGCCCATCCCTGAATGCTTCCCTTTTCTGTAAACCAGGGGTTCTCAACCTTGGCAACTTTAAGACTTGTGGACTTCAACTCCCAGAATTCCTCAGCCAGCAAAGCTGAGGAGTTGAAGTCCACAAGTCTTAAAGTTGCCAAGGTTGAGAACCCCTGCTTAAACTGTCTGGAAAATATCAGAGCCTGCCTTTCCTCAGGTCCAATGTGAGGTCCCCACTTCCACGCGTGCCCCGTCTCTCCTACAGAACCAAGAGTCTGAGCGACCTAAACGAAGCCTTTCTGTTGGCAAAGGCACAGCATCCGAAAACTGCTTTCAGGACTGGCCAATGAAAACAAGCCCCAAATTGCTGAGCAAAGGATTCTGTGGCCAAGATCGGCTTACATTCCCTTGTCGGAAGGAAACGAGAGGCCCCTTTCTCTGGTGCATACATACCGAAGAGAATGTGGACTTTGCTTGCTTTTAAGAAGCCATCAATATTATGACATAACACACCCTCCTCCCCAAAAAGCCTTCACCGATGTTAAAGCCTACCATCACTAGTAGAGCAACTAAGACAATGAAAGGCCTGGAGACTGAAAGATAGGAAGAACGGTTGCAGGAATTGAGTATGGTCAGTCTAGACGCAGTGTTTCCCAAACTTGACAATTTTAAGGCATGAGGACTTCAACTCCCAGAATTCCACAGCCAGCGTTTGGGAGTTGAAGTCCACATGCCTTAAAATTGTCAAGTTTGGGAAACACTGGTCTAGAGAAAAGAAGTTCTAGGGGTGACAGGATAGCAGGGTTCCAGTATTTGAGAGGCTGCCCCAAAGAAGAAGGGGTCAACTTATTTTCCAAAGCACCGGAAGGCAAGACAAAGAACAATGGATGGTAACTAATCAAGGAGAGAAGCAACCTGGAACTAAGGAGAAACTTTCTAATAGTGAGAAAAATCAATCAGTGGAATGGTTTGCCTTCAGAAGTTGTGGAGGCTCCATCACTGGAGGCTTTTAAGAAGAGATTGGCCAGCCCCTTCTCTGAAATAGTATCTCCTGCTTGAGCAGGGGGTTAGACTAGAAGATCTCCAAGGTCCCTTCCAACTCTGTTTATTTGCCAGGGTTTATTTGCGCCGAAGCAGAGTCCACTTGAGTAGACTGCCATAATTCAAAGCAATCCAGAGTGGATAGCCATTATTTCCTTCCCCAGACTCACTTACTTATACTTTGATTCTCTGTCTGCCTATCTCTATAATCCAGCGTGACCTATCTGAGCAGGCTTCTCCTAATTTTAGTCCCCACTCTGGTACAGTTGGACCTGCCACCTGAGTGCAAATGTTCTGCTTTCTTTGTTTCCGAAGACTTCCTTCCTCAGAATCCTCAAAAGCAGATTGCCTGCTTCTCTTGCAAAATCTCTTGTTTTAATTGTTCAATAATACACGCTTCCCCCCCCCCCGCCATAAGCCAGCCTTGTTTTCAAAGCAATAAAGAGAGGCAGCCCACCCCTTTTCCCACTCCCTCGTCGTCAATATTGCAAGTGCTAGACATTGTCAATATTGCAAGTGCTAGACAAAGCGTGGTTTTATTGGGACATCCAAGGATGGGCTTGGCGGGGAAGACTTTGACCTCCAAAGAGAATTAGAGCAGAAGGCCCAGCTCAGTAGCCTTGCCGCCTTGCCTTTGTGTCTTGCACTTTCATTGAATTCCGACTTTGATTGAGGTGGGCAGATAAATGGGGAGACAATAATCCAGAGATTTCATACCAGCTCTGGAGAAGGGAAGACAATTACCATGACAACATGGCTAAAAAAGGGGGAAATGGGGCACCAATTTTACTCTGGTGAGAGAAACATAGGCTTTCAGGAGAGGGGCGGGGGTACAAATTTAGATTTTCGCCAGTTGGTTGCCCTGATGCTTGGCCCAAAAGAGTAAGTCCTTTTGATTTTCTCCAGGACAAAGTTACGGGCTTACAGTGGCGTAACTGAGATCAGGATATGGTTGATAGCTCTCCAAAGACAACAACATCCGGGCAGATGGTCTTTGCATTTGGATTCAGAGGCCAAGAAGCCAAAAAACTTTGCAAACCTTTGATTACTGACCGATGCATTCGTTTGGGGAGTCACAAAGGTACAAAAACTCAGCATGGGACAATTCTTGTCATTTTCTCATCATTTGCTCTTCTGGGCAATTTTCTTCTCCTGGCTGTTGGCCAACACCTCTAGCCTTGTTAACTTTTGTGTTGTAATAAAGCACCTGCAGCTCATTCCGTGTGAAAGCGAGAGAGGGAGAGGGACGGGGAAGGGGAAGAGAAATCTGCCATGGGCTGGAGACAAGGATCCCATTTATTCTTTTGTTCCAATTTAAAAAAATGTAGAAAGGAGAATGGAGGATCCTTTGCCTTGATCTGACAGAATGGGCTGCAAAATGGAGAAGCTTGAAACACACCCTACAAACACTTTTAGGAGTGCTTGTACATTCTGTGTGTGCAGGTGTGAAAGTACAGATATTTTAGGCAGTAGACACAGATAGAAATGTATCAGGAGAGTGACCGATTCAATATTTCAAATTCAGAGGGAACCTGGTAGAACATCAACTTCAAGCTTGGAAGAAAGTAAGTGTCTATATCTCACTCCCTTAGATTGGAAGATCTTCACCATTGGTCTAGACCAGGGGTAGGCAACCTTGGCTCTTTTATGACTCGTGGACTTTGCTGGCTGAGGAATTCTGGGAGTTGAAGTCCACGAGTCATAAAAGAGCCAAGGCTGTCTACCCCTGGTCTAGACCAGTGATGGTAAACCTTTTAGAGACCAAGTGCCCAAACTGCAACCCCAAACCCTCTTATGTATCGTCAGGTGCTGGGTGGGCATGGCCGATTGGGTGGGTGTGGCCCATTGGGTGGGCATGGCTGCCGTGGTAACGGCAGACTGGGTGGGACTAAAAAGTTCAATCGATCAATTCCAACTTTGTGAGCTCTTTTTTTCCCCCCCGGGAGAAGTTGAAATTGATTGATTGAACCTTTTGGGGGTTTTTTGCACATGGCCGCGGAGGCCTAAAGCGAAAAGGTTTTATAAAACCTAGCTGAAGGCCTAAGACTGGGGTGACGGCGCACATGCCCACAAAGAGCCATAGGTTCGCTACAGACTCTAGGCCATTTTTAAATGTGGACTTCAACTCTCAGAATTCCCCAGCCACACTTGTTAAAGTGGCCAAATTTAAAAAGTGCTGACCTAGCCTGATCTAAACATGAATCCTTTGCTTTTGGTCCTAGCTTGTTCCTGATTTGGTGACTCCTTGTGTTCATTGCAATTCAACATCCCATTTCCACTCTGTCATTGTACCTTGATAAATACGCATCATGAACTCTTTCATCACTATTTTCTATTTTATAAAAAAAAATAGTTTTAATTTTTTTCTAGAAAATAGAAAAAAAACTATTTGGAAAATTTTCTATTTTATGAAAGCACTATTTGCATGTTGTCCCGGTCCTCCCACCCCATAAAAAAGTTCATACATAGCACTTTTTAGGAATTTCTGCAGTTAAAAAAGAGAGAGGAGCGGGGCTAAGCCACAAGGACATTGAACATTGCCATCTACCGGATGGAGATTGTATATACAATCATTGCATTTTTTTTCTCCAGCTTAATGTTTTCCAAATGTTTTGATATATGACTCCTGAAGTTGAAATATAATGGAGCAACAGTTTATGCACCAAGGTACCTCAAATAGGTTAAATTACAGAATGCATCCAAAATCTTAGACCTATGACTCCCAAGGGAATGATATTTGGGAAAGTTGTGGCTATTTCAATGCTATTGGCTGCTGCTGCATAGCTGGGCTGCTGCTGTCATTTTCTGTGACAGTTTCCCAGTCACTCTCACAATCCCTTGTTCCCTCTCCCATCCAGCAACAGCCATTTTCCCACCTTCTGGGAAGGGAAGGGAATTAGAGAGCATAAAAGATTGGAACCGATTGGCTCGTAGAGGACAAGGGATGTAGAAATCAGGCTACATTCATTCTATGTAAGTATTAATCATGAATCCATTGGTTTCATGTTATTCAACATGTGAAGATTGCCAATATCTCCACTTTTGTTTCATTTGAAGTTTTCCTGACCTAAGGATGGATGTCTTTTAGCTTCATCTTGCACACAACAAACATACACATTTTATGTCCTAACTTACCAAAGTATGCATTTTTTTGCATCAGATGTGGAAAACCATCTCCTTTTGCATATTCCAATCTACTCTTGTGTGCCATTGTTGACCCAAGACAACCTGCACAACAGGCTCGAGAGCCATGCAATGCTTTATAGGTGCCCAACCTTGACAAAGAGGTCTACAAAGAATGTCTTTGAAACAACTTCACAAAATGTTGCCCATAGACTGTGACTCTATAGAATGGAGGAGGGTAACCACAACTTTGTGCAGATGAGCTAGTATGCATGACCAGAAGTCCATTTCTAGTGAACTGAAGAGATGGAAGAACTGTTTCAAGAGTCTAATCAAAGATTAAAAAAAATTAAAAAAAAGAGTCTAATCAAAGAAAAGTACCTTGCACTCTCCAGGAGAGAGCATTTCACTGGACCTCATTCATGTCAAGATGAATGCCATTTTGGCACCTCATTTCATACTGCTGGAAGAGGAATCTATGCCACGTTGTGGCAAATCCTTCATAACAATATCTCTAGCCTACTTACATGTGCTCTAGAAAGCTGGAAACCGGTTGTGAGGGGATGACTGTCTTGTCTGGGCTCCAGGGAAAGTAGGACATCTTTTTGCATCTTTCCATCCCATGTCCGTTGCGCAACATCTAAGAATGGAATAGAGGGACAGGTGTGTTATAATCTTCTCCAACAAAATAGTCCTGCAGCCTGTTAAGGATTAAGAGGGTTATTGTCTGCAAAAAGAAAAAGTAAAAAGAAACCACCCAAAATATTTTCTCCTCAAAATGAGCGAGTTAGAACTCACCAGAAAATTCAACTCCATTTCTCACAGGTTCAACAGAGACCTGGCTGTCTTCACACACAGTATACATTCTGCAACTTTTCATGTCACTTCTGCTTCCTTCTCCTCCTCCTTCTCCTCCTCCTCCTCCTCCATTGCTCCAATTCCTACCATCTTTTAAAGACCCCTGAAGAACTGGCTTTCCCCTCCCACAGGCCCTGGGATGAGGTGTTGTTTTTAATGGAGAGTTGTAAACTGGGCTGATATTATTTTCAGTGGCGTTCATGAAGCAAACATGGCAGTTATGAAATGAAGGCCACAGTCATTAAGCATATGCTGCAATCGTTAAGTAAAGCTATTAAGTTGTTAAATAAAGCTATTTGGGACAGTTTTTGCCCAAAAGCAGGAAGTAAATGCTCTTTGTAAGCAGCATTTGGAGAAACCTGTTGCAACTCTGAACAACACTAAGCAACTGGTGGAAAGTTGAGGACTACCTATATAATACTCTCTTTTTCTGTACTGATAAAAGAGAATATTTGTACCGATAAAGGAGAATATTCGTAGCTCAGGATCGAAGTCTGAGATCCTTGATGCTCTCTGAGCTTGGTGGTTTGACAGCACTCATAAACATCAAGAGCACTGATGATGTTGCTACGTTTGGTAATGAAAGATCTGCAAGAAAACCACACAATTCGGAGAGCACCAATGACCCCACTATCTTCTGGGGTTTTTTTTTCTGTCAAAATGGACTGTGATCCATGAAAGCTTGTGCAAAAAAAGCTTACACAGGCAGTCCTCAACTACGACCACAACTGAGCCCAAACGTGTTGTTAAGTGAGAAATTTGTTGTTTTGCCCCCATTTTACGACTTTTCTTGTCACATTTGTTAAGTGAATCACTGCAATTGTGAAGTTAGCAACGCGGTTGTTAAGTGAGTCCAGCTTCCCCATTGACCTTGCTTGTCAAGTCGCAAAGGGGATCCCTTGACCTCCGAGACACGGCAACCGTCGTAAATGCGAAGCATCTGAATGTAAATCACGTGACCCTGGGGATGCTTCAATGGTCCTAAGTGATAAAAATGGTCCTAAGTTGCTTCTTTCAGTGCCGTTGTAACTTTGAACGGTCACTAAATGAATCATAAGTTGAGGACTACCTGTGTAGCCTTTAAGGTATCACTAGGCCCTTTATTATTTTTTTCCCTTAAAACTGGTCAAGATTCCTCTACGCCCAAAGCTGCAACTGGAGACCAACTTTACGGGAGACCCCTGATAATTTTATACACTCTAAAAGAGGAATTTTATATCAGCCACGCTGGGTATTAAAATGGCCTCCCGATTGAACAGAAAACAGCACATCCCATTTGTTGCCATTTCAGCTACTTTAATCAATGTTCCCAGGGAATTCCTTCTGGGAAACTCATCTCATCTGGGACTGAGAATGTAAAAGTAATCATCAAAGCTTTAGAATAATTACGACAAATGAAAGCAAACGCATACGATGCTCTTTTTCGAGATATTCCCCACGGTCAATGTATTAAGACAGCTGTAGACCTGGCTAGTCTGAATTAGAAGAGAGATCCTACATAAGCTCTGGAGATGTGTGGAGGTTCCTTCACCCTGCCAAGTGAATATCCAGGTGGCCAGTATTTGGATTGGAGATTATATGAGAGCCCAGAACAATCTGACTCTTTATGCGTTATGAAAGGAAGGAGAATGTTAGAAAAATAATAAAGGCAATTTGATCACCTCCCCCGGAATGACATCCTCCATAAATTTTGCCTAATTCTGACCCAGGACTAGTTGAGCATGATCCCAAATGGATTGAGATCCAATGGTTCTCTTCATCACAGAGGATATAAAAAAATCACCTGGAACAAAAATTCAGAGGTTTTTTTTCCTGACTTTTTCCTGACATATTTGAAATCTTCCAAGATACAGTTGGTTAGATGCAGTATAGTTTTGCTACTAGACCTTGAAATTCTTTATTAAGCCTACTTGCAATAGATTTTAACATTTCCCCAAGATGAAAAACACAATAAATACGACTGTTAAAATAATCTACATTCAAAAAGCCAGGCACTTATTACCATCTTTGATAGACATGCTCCAAAGCCGAAAGATTCTGGTTAAGAATACACATATGGTTAGAGAAAATGACTAAAAAACATATAGATTTTAATCCAGAACTATTTTTGTTAGGCATAATTGTAGGAAATTATGAGAAAGAGTGTATATATCTAATGTTACATGTATTAACTGCAGTGATAATTGTATTCGCTCAACATTGGAAAAATGAAGATTTACCAACGGAGGAAGAGTTAATTAAAAATTTTAGATTGTGCAGAAATGGATAGATTGACATTGAAAATGAAAGAGAAAGAAGATTCAGTATATTTTAGAACATGGGACACCTTTTATCAATGGCTAGAAAAACGAGGTAGAGAGAAAGAAATTTAACACGTATTAGTAAGTTAAATGTTGGAACCCAGACAATATGTTGCTGATAAAATATTAAGCACTTGTGATTATAAAAAACTACTGTTTGACGTGGGACTCCACAGTCACACTGAGGGGTGGATACTATGCCCCATTTATATAGGGCAGCGGTTCTCAACCTATGGGTCGCGACCCCATTTGGGGTCGAACGACCATTTTACGGGGGTCGCCAAACAACGCGATCCGCCATTTTCCCCCTCAGGGGGCGCCGCCACGCATGCACGCTGCGCATGGGAGCGCCGCCGTGCATGGGGGCGGCACCACGCATGCGCGACGCATCCATGTGACCGGGGGTCGCCGTATAAAAAGGTTGAGAACCGCTGATATAGGGAGTCCCGGCAGAAGCTGTGGGAAAATGAAATCTTGAAATCAATAAATGATCGAAAACAATCCTCTGGTATTCCTATCACTATTTCCTGATCAAAATCACTATTTTCGATGTTGTTGAAAACTGGCTGGCTATAACGATCTACATAGTTTATAGAAACAGTCACATACCGGCTCCACTAACTGAAGCAGGGGTCTTCAAACTTGACCCTTTTATGACTTGTGGACTTCAACTCCCAGAATTCCTCAGCCAGCGGGTCTGGCTGAGGAATTCTGGGAGTTGAAGTCCACAAGTCATAAAAGGGCCAAGTTTGAAGACCACTGAACTAAAGTCTACTGAAGTCTTCATTTGTACCTATGGACAATGGAGAGAAAAGTCTGCCCGTTTGTCTGTCTGTTTGCCATTGCCTCCTTTCTAGAGCTGAGACAGAAAGTGATTGGCGCAAGCAGGACTAGAACTCCCAGTCTCCCGTTTTTTAGCCTGCTCCCTTAACCCTAACCCTGGCCCAGCCCGACTCTTGCAATCAAGTGTTGCCCAAAGGAATGATTAAGACAAGTGCCATTTCTTCCATCAGAAGATCAAATGGCCAATCCTTTCTCCTCTTACACTCACAGTTGTTCTAACAAACTGATGGAAGGAAGCAGCTAAGCTCCTCTTCATCGCTTATTAATTTCCTAACTGGGTGGAAATGGCACAATTCCCCTTGGAGATCCAGGCCAGCTCAAAATATTGAGGAAGCTACTCAGGCATTTTCCAGTGTAACTTAGAGCTGAGGACACTGGAAGGGAAGGATAATGGGGTGTTTGTGGGGGACATAGAGGGTGTATTTTCTGCTGTTGCTAAGACAGATTTCCTTCCCTCCTCCCCCCCCAGCTCATGGCCCCCTCCACTTCCGTACCATCCAATCCTGGCACTTCTTCTCTCCATTGGTTCCACTGTCGCATCGAATGATTGTGACAGCTTTGCATTCTCCTCACTTATTGGCTTAGTCCGATGGCCTATTATCGAGGGAAGCAAATCGGATGCTTAATCAATACTTGGCAAAGGCTGCCAGAGGCTACATTAGCATCACACCACTGGCTGTCTGGCTGTCTGCCTTTGAGATAAGCATCAAAGGAGCTCGTGACATGATGGAGCACCTGGCTAATTCCATTTCGGTTGTGGAGGAAGGAACACCACTGATGCACACAGAGCTCCCTTTCCTACAGAGTCATTTGGAAGGAACCATTTGTGACTGTTGGTCTTCTAGGAGCATCTTCCAGGTCCCTCACTGCTCCCTGATGTATTGAACCTAAGAGGAATGTCCAAATCTATCTCCTACACCTGTTTGGAAAGATCTAGATGACTATGAAAGGAGATGTTGGACCTCTATGCTGGAAGCTTCACTACGGTCAACATTTGATGAAAAGCAGCTTTCTTAAAACATGGGGACCTGGTCCATAGTTCAGAATCGCTGTAGAGCTGGGTGGCCTTATGAAACAAACACAACAAAAAAAAATTACCTTTCTGCTTCAAAAAAAGTTAGTGTAAGATAGAGATTAAACATTTCATCTGGGAGGGAAAGTTCAGATTCAGATCTCCATCCAACCATAAAGCAGGGTGGACTTTAGACTAGTCAAATTAAACTAACCCACCAAGATTGTCATGGAGGAAGCTCTAAATGCAACCCATAACTACAAAAGGGAAGAAGACATGGATTCTGTTTCTTGGTTCTTCCAAACCCAGTTTGGTCACCACCCTTTTTTTCTTGCCCACTTTGAGGAATCGGGTGCATCTCATCTAGATCAGTGGTTCTCAACCTTTCTAATGCCGCGACCCCATAATACAGTTCCCCACGTTGTGGTGACCCCCAACCACTTATACATCACCGGGTGCCAGGGGCGTGGCCAAAGAAAAGGGGGGAAAATGGCGGACAGCCTTGTTTGGCGACCCCCGTGAAATGGTCGTTCGACCCCAAATGGGGTCCCGACCCGCAGGTTGAGAACCACTGATCTAGATGATTAGAGGAACCAATAAAGTTCAGAAGGGACCAAATAGGGGAAC